TCATAATTAGCTCTGTTTATGTTTCTTTTCGCAGGTGCACTTACGGTGGCCAGTTTCTCAATGTCCTCGTCCGAGGCTCCCAGGGAGACGAGCCCGATCTCCTGAAAAACGACACCGCGGACAGTGGCTGTGGGAGGCAGAACTCTTGCGTGTCTAACAGCTGGAGGACTGACGACTACAGGTACCAGTTCCTCTCTGAACCGGGGGAATAACAACGCTTGTGTGAATCAGGAAACCTGACCGGCACCGGGACAACCTGTGCTTTGTGTAACGATACAAAGACTACGCGGGCACCTTCTGAGCACAACGCCGCCGATCCGCACAGACAGATTCTCACAATATGAATCGTCAGCGTGCGGTTTGTACGAACTGCAGAAACCCGCGACTAACGCTGTTTATCTTACCTGTGAAAACTTGGCAAATTCCACGTCAGTCAGCATCGGGACGTGTCCGAGCAGTTCGTGGCAGCAGTCGCTGAAACGGGGCCAGACGCGCAGTGTAAATATAGCTTTCACTACATGGGGAGCAGAAACCGCTCGTATTTAAGCACATGACATCTGGCAACTTGTGTCAGGGAGCTCCTCGCGTGTTTTAGTGAAAGGGAGAAAACATCGGGTCGCTTAACGATATTAAAAATCACGAGAAACAAAAAAACTAACCTTTCTATACGTATGGCAAACCTGTTTAACAAAGACCGCTAGATCGGCGACATGAAGAATAATTCTCAGGGGTACAGTGCCCGTTTCACATTTCCCCAGAGATATGCCTCATCTCCCATTTTGTAAGCGGTAGTTAGACAAACGGGGCTCAGTGTTGTGTCCTGGGATGACGGGCTTTCCGCCCAGGCGGTAGCCTGCCATGCGCCCGGTGCTTGCCGGGATGGGCTCCGGTCTCCCCCGCGGCCCTGTATCGGATAAGGCGGAGAGAAACGGGGCGGCTGGGAGGAGGAAAAGAGCAGGACTTACGGTTCCGGCGAATGCATTGGGGACGACGAGTGGCGGACGTACTGAGTGCACTGGAAGACGCGGAACGCCAGGCTGGCCAGGAAATCTCTGGCGGACAGCAGCCCGGCGGCGGGTCGCAGCTGAAACCCCGTCTTTCCTAAGGGACGAGGATAGGGCGAGACACTTATTGAATCGATCTATCGTCATCTTACTCCTTACTCCACTTTCTCCTGAAACCCATAAACAAAGGGAAAGGTACTGTATGTGCACCACGCTGTATCCGATGTGCGCGATGATCGTGGCGCCTGTCCAGTGTGCCGAGGCCGCCGTGGGTGCGTCTGCAGCTGAAACACGTTCTGTGGAAGGGCAGGTTTGTGAAGTAGGATCTGTGTCTATACAATTAAAACGGCGTGACTTCATTTAATGAATTTCCATGAATTTCCACACGGAAGAGCGCAAGCCCATCCCCTCGCTTCGCGCGTCGAAATACCTGTAACGCAACGGGGGCTCAGGCGGGCGCCCTTGCCGCATTAGGTCGGCCCCATCC